TGGAATTATTGGGAAGGGGGATCCTTTAAAAATTTTGCATACTGATGGCTCTATCCACACTGAACACATTGGGACCAGTTAATCTGGATGAGACAGAAGTAAGAGACATGATTGTGTCTGGATTTTAGCCTCTACCATGTGTTAGGCACCAGACTGGAATATATATATATATATATATACATATATATATATATATATATACATATATATATAATCTTATCTATATACATATATATATAATCTTATCTGGTCCTCATAATTATTGCTTTCATTTTACAGCTGAGAACTCTGGGGCTCAGAGAGGTTAGAACACATACCTGAGAACACACAGCTAGAAAATGGCAGCCTTGAAATTCAAAAAGTCTGACTTCAGAAGCCTTTACAGATGCTGATTATAGATGTTGATGGGCAAATTTTACCCCCCAAAGATTTAATGGGCCAGTTATATTCATTCAACAAACAGTACTCAGCATCTACAAAGTGCTAGGTGTTGTGCTGGGTGATAAGGAAGGAGAAACAAAGACCAAAGACGAATAAGACACAAGCTTACACTAGAAGTGCCAAGGTATGATGGGGAAACACTTAAAACAGGGTCAGGATTCTTAAGGAATGGGGCAAAGGTGTGAAAGGGCCAGGTATGGGGAGTGGGGGAGGGGTTTCTCAAGGAAGTCCTCACAGAGATGCCAGAAAGATCATTCCTGAGCCAAGGCTTCAGGGATGAGTGCAAACTGGCCAGCTCAGAAGGGGTTTACCAGGTAACATGACCAGCGCATACACCAGCATGGTGAGACACTTCTGTCTGCTCCTTGTTTAGCTTTAACAAAATCAACCAAGCCAAATTTTAAAAGCCCAGAGAAATGCAGTGCTCACTGGGGTCCTCAGCTCTTCCAAACAGCTAAAAATCAACATTAAAAAAACAAGTTCTAAAGAGTAAAACACTCGCCACAAACCTCATGCCCTAACCCATGGTCAGCAAACTGCAGATCGCGAGCCACATGCGGCTCTTTGGCCCCTTGAGTGTGGCTCTTCCTAAGCCTTAGGAGTACCCTAATTAAGTTAATAACAATGTACCTACCTATATAGTTTAAGTTTAAAAAATTTGGCTCTTAAAAGAAATTTCAATCGTTGTACTGTTGATATTTGGCTCTGTTGACTAATGAGTTTGCCGACCACTGCCCTAAGCCCACGCCTGTGATGTTTTGAGAGTGACCAAGCCCTCATTTAAAGCCAATTGTCTTTTATTTTCTGACTTGATCTCCACATGACTAGTTGCATGCTTCCTCAGGCGTTGGCAGCAAATTCGAAGGGTGGACAGGTGCAAAGATGGCAGGAAGAAGGGGCAACCAAGATAGAAAAAAAAAGAGAGACTTGGAAAGATGAGTTGAGAAACTAAAAATTTCTCCTACCCCAGTTGTTTTCAACCTTCCTAATTCCACGACCCTTTAATACAGTTCCTCATGTTGTGGTGACCCCCAATTTCATTGTTACAAATTGAACATAATTAAAACATAGTGATTAATCACAAAAACAATATGTAATTATATATGTGTTTTCCCATGGTCTTAGGCAACCCCTGTGAAAGGGTTGTTCGAGACAGGTTGAGAACCGCTACCCTAGCCAGTTTGGCTCAGTGGATAGAGCATTGGCCTGAGGACTGAAGGGTCCCAGGTTCGATTCTGGCCAAGGGCGCATCTCCAGAGGTGGGTGTGCAGGAGGCGGCCAATCAATGATTCTCTCTCATCACTGATGTTTCTATCTCTCTCTTTCCTTCTCTCTTCCTTTCTGAAATCAATAAAAATATGTATTTTTTTAAAAAGAAGCTAAAAAAATCCATAGCTTCTTTCAGGACATCATTGTATAATATAGTACAATAGCTTGCTCAACTCAACAGGCATCTACTAAGCTCCAACTGTGTACCAGGCCCTCTCTTAGGCTTGGCAGGGGATGTGAAAATGTAAAACCCGGCACTGTCCAGTTCAGTTTGGTAGGAACAAAAGGTGTATAAATTGAGACAGGAAGAATATCAGGGTGTGAAGGGTCTCTTCACACTGTGTATGTAATAAAGGGCAGGAAGGGCTGCCTGAAGACAGGGAAGTCATTTGTCACTAAAGAGCAAGACACTTAAGGAAGATACTTAAGTTCCCCGTGCCTCAGTTTCCTCTTGTGTATAATGGGGATAATAGCAGTACCCTTTCAAAGCAATGTTGAAGATGAGATGGGTTGACATACAGAGTAGTGTAGGATGCCTGTTGTCATTGCCTATGTACCTCACTACTTCCTTCCTCAGTCCTTAGATTTGGTAATTGCTCAATAAATATTGCTGGACAAATGAATTCACACATGAATGGGTCAAGTGATGCTACTGAGTCAAAAGGGAAAAAAAATTATTATGTAAGGCATTGAGCTCTTTCATAAGCCTTGCAGACCATGGAAAGACTGCCATGCAAACAGTTTAAGAAACAGGTGTGATGTTTAAGGTATGTTTCAGACACGGAAGAAGTTAATCATTCATTCCTTCACTTTTCTGCATAGATGGCCTGACATTTTAAACAAGCCCAGGAAGTGAGATGAAGAGATCACAATGAAATTAGAGGACATCTCATTCTAAAAGATGGCTGGAGGGGCCCTGAAACCCAGGAGTTAAGCTCTGTGGGAAATGCTGTGATGACAGCAAACCCCAACCACCACACACTCACCCTGCCCAAAACCAGCGCTGTGGGCTTCTCCTTCCTTAAATTATACTCACTCCCAAAAGGATAAACACAAACATTGTCTTTAAAAGATGTTGAAGACCATAAAAGTCAAACCAGCTTGAAAACATAGGCTATGAACACAAACAGATGGAGCTACCAGAGGACCTGGGGGTGTCTTACAGGTCTCCACCCTTATTTTACAGATGTGGAGACTGAGGCCCGGAGGAGGAAAGGGAGTCACCAAAGCCATCATTTCCAGAGAATGGCAGACAGGGGTGGAGCAGGGGGCTCGGATTCCCAAACTCGAGCCCTCCAAGGGGACTGCATCTTCCTGCCAAAGGAAATCTTGAGGAAAAAAATAAGAGGCGGTTCCAACTCCAGCAGGGGATCAGGACTGGGGTGAGGAGGCCCTGGGGGAGGAGAGGCAGTAAAGAGTAAAGAATGATTGTGATGGGGGAGCTAAGAACAAGGCTGATGAGCACACGCAGTGGGAAGAAATGTCAGCCCCTCTGCGCTTTTCGTGGGGCTAGGAACAATACGGTCCAATCCAAGCGCCTGGGTTTTGCAGGTGTATCCAACCCCTTCTACACAAACACACGCAAAGACCAATGCCTTCTCCCAGGTGTTTTCCTCTCGGTCGGAATTTCTCGCGGGTGGGTAGGTGGGTGGGGAGGGAAAGCCTCAGAGATACCCTCTCTTTAAGGTAGCGCCCTCGGCCGGCAGCGGAGGAGGAAGAGCTCGGGCAAAGAGTCTACCGGATCCACGCGGAAGTCGCGACCCCGCCCTCCCCACCCCCCAACACCACCAGAACCACACACCCCCGCTTGGCTTCTTCCTTCCCCGCCCCCAACGGTGATCGAAGCCAGGTGAAGGGACCGAGAGCTGGAGGGCGGGTTTCCGAAGGGCTTCTCTTGGAGACTCTGGCCCCCGCGTGCCTGCTCGCTCCTGCGCGCACTCACAGGCACACCTAACATACACACGCACGGCCGCGCACACGCTCGCGCGCATGTAGAGATTCACCAACACACACGCACTCGCATGCACACATCTGGTACCCCCTAGAGGCCCGGCCGCGCCCGCCCCACCTCCCCTTCTGCCCCCGGGAAACGGACAGGCAGCAACATGAATGAAATCTGCCCAGAAAGACTGCATTTCAGCTCCAACCACGCAACCTCCGGCCAAACCGCCGAATAGAAAACAAAGTTTTATTTCGCTTTTAGACTCTCCAGTTACGCTTCTACCATTTCCTGTGGAAAATGGACGCTTTGAAGTGTCTAGCTCGGCTTTCACAAACAGGCAGGACCGCCAGCTCGAGCTCTTGAAAACAAGAGCCCCCCCCCCCCCGCCCCCAGCCCCAGCCCCTCCGCCGCCAGAACTGCAGGTTCAATTCCACCCAGCTCCTGCCTCCATTTATGGGGGGATGTGGGAAGAATGACAGAACCTGCTGAAAACGACGCCCTACACTGACACCTCCCCCTCCAGGACCCCGCCCCACTCCCATCCTGCCTGGGCCCCTGGTGGTGCTCCTTAAGTCAAGTGGCAATGGCTGCAGCCCCTGCCACAGGGCTCCCCAAACGGCACGAGCTGGGCAAGTCGAAATTGGGGAGGATAGCCCTATGCGACCGCCGGACCATCAGTCCCGGAAAAACTTGGGAACCAAAAAGTTATCAGGTGACC